TATCTAGACCTTTTGAATAGTTTAGGGGCATATTTGACCCTTTTCCCTTGAATATAAATGTCAAGTGATAATAATAAAAATGACGTGGAAAATCCATTTGGCATTTTTGAATAAAAATAAAATGAGTTGGATATTCCGAGTTGGCCAACTAACGCTCAAAAGGGCATATGTAGACCAAAAGTTGGACGGCGAGGGTATAAATGGACCAATCTTTAAACGGAGGGTATATCTAAACCTTTTCAAATAGTTTAGGGGCATATTTGACCCTTCTCCCTTAACCTGACAGCCTCCTAAAAATTTTAACTAGGATGACATATTGGGCCTCTTTGGATAGCCATAGGGATTTCAAATCCACAAGCCCAAGTCTTTTCCTACAGTTTTAAAAAAAAGATTGTAAGAGTGAACTCAAATGCCAATGGATGTAGGGTTCCCATTTCATGCTATATGAAATAATCTCCAAGAGTGTCATCTCCAATCATGCACCCAGATATTGGCACAGGTTGGCTCCCTTTGATATCAAAAACAGAAGAGTATCCAATTTCCTCTTTACAAAGAGATAACGTGAGCAGATATACAACTCCTTCCCCCTTCCTTGCGGGCCCGCTCCCAATTTGGATTTTGCCAACAGTCTGTAATCATGCCATCCTTTATTCCATAAATTCACTTGTTCTGTTGCCTCTAATTCACAAAAGACATCTCTTTTGCTCAATTTTAGCACAAGTAAATTATCTCTCGTGTTCTTCCTTATTTTGTAAACTCCCTCCCTACCAACAGCATCAATCAACTTTACCATGGCCGCTTTGCATTAACTAGGGTATTGCTTTGCTTTTGCATGTTTGCAGTGGCTCTGCCGTTAATTCACAGAACTTCAGCTTACACTGATGTCATTCCTTTTCTAAAATTTATTGCATCAACAAGAGATGGAGAGTGCAGCCTTTTTCTGCTCATCTTCTGTAAACGTTATCCTTTTCAATATTTTTTTTATTTTGAAATTTAAATTTGTACTCATGTTAGGTGAGTATATCTGACTGGTTCTTTTAACATTATTTGCTACACAAACTACTAAGAAGGACAAGGATATGGCTGTAAACAATTTTAATCAGTTAAAACTAAACACACTTCTACTTATACACCATATATCTAATTTTAATACAATGAACTGAGCATTTAAAAATAATGCATTTTCCACTAAAAAGTCATGATCCTCTGCATTACAATTCCAATATTACTTGTTCATTAGCCAAATGACCCCAGTGATGATAATTTCTATCATTTTCAAATTCACAGGCTCAATCGCTCAATCCCATATTATTCTTGAATCTACTCCATCCAATACTAAACAGGAATAAAGTCTCATTAGTGGATGTCCACAACGTAATATATCCCACATTTGCCAAAAACTTAGTAAAACATGGAAATCAAGATTACTTAGCATACTAGCAAAAATATATAAATATGGTCTAAATTTTAAAACAAACATACCCATTCACCAGGGCAAAGGGATCGGTAGTACTTAGCAAACTTGTCACACTCAGGTGCACCTTCACCCTTTGCAGCTGTGCACCTGAAAGACAAACAAATGATACATAAGTGAGATTTTATTATTTGATTAAAATAACTCAAACAGAAAGAAACACAAGAAAAATAGATTGTAAATAACTGTGAAAACTGACCGATGATACTCAACATATCTTGTAAAGCAGTGCCTCGACTGATTTGTAGTAGGAAAGCGGAAGTCAGCAGGTGCTGTCTCAAGCTGATTGCCAATCATGATATAAACAACAGAAGACAGTTAATGCATATGCTATTGGCTAGTAAGATGGAGTCAAGATTGAGGGTTAACTAAATCTAACCTTAATCGCAGGGGTTTCAACAGCAGACTCCTGATCTCCTGAGGTCTCATCTTCAGTACTTTCGCTGCTTTCATCACTGGAAGCCTCTACAGGAGGAGAGGCTTCAGCTGATTCAGTTACAGCTTCACTGCTTTCCTCAGGTGCAGGGGCCGTTTTGATGCTCTCAACCACTGGAGCCTCCTCAGTTTTGGAAAGAACTTCTTCAGCTGGAGCAGCTGAAGGGGTCTTAACCTCAGTTTCTTCAACCGGTTTTGCGGTCATTGGGGATTTCTCTTCTTGGTCTTTCAGTAAGTATTGCTGCAATTCCATGGATAGGACAAAATTTGTCATTTGCAGGAAAAAACTCTATCAAAGGCAAAGAAAATCTCAATGCAAATGGTAATCCAAAAACTAGTATAAAGCCCAGAAATTTTAGATAAGAAAGTCAACAATGTGATTGTAGCATTAAATCCTCATGTCAATATGGAAGATACAAGTTCCCAATAGGTGAAAAAAAGATGTTAGAACACATTTCTCTACCTGATGATCAATGCAAAGTGCTGCTTGCGAGGGGCAAGCAATTCAAGAAGGTGTGCATTTAGTAGGGAGAGCCATTAAGTGAACCATGCGAGAAGGATCACATTTTACGAATCTAAATTAAAAGATGGAGAAGAGAGAAAAAATGGATAAAAAATGGGTTCTTTTGCTATTTGTTACTAGGACTCTTCTCTAGAATGTTTCACTTCTCCTTGTTGTCCTTTTTGAAGGTCCAGCATTCTGGCAGTTGAGGATTCCACATTACCAAGCAACGTGTACCTCTTTACACAACCAGAACAAGCTAGACGCCCCGCAGCAGGGAACACAAGCTGATAAGGTTGTACTTCACTTGTTTAAGCACAATCCCATGTATTCACTAAAGCTTTAGTTCAAGATTTGACTTCAATAGTAATTCAATCGCTTCTGATCAAAATTTTGTTTTTATGAAGAAATTCAAAGCAAAAGTAAACAATTAACAACCATATGACAATATGCTCAAACAAACTGGTTTAACACAGATTTTTAACTCCTTAAACCTTTCAATTCCATCAACGGATCGTATAAATCAAAATCCCATTAACAGATGAAAAGCGACTCAAGCAATTCACAATAAAATGAAATTCTTCTAAATCAGAACTATTCCTAGTGAAATCACAACATTGGAGAATAACATCTTTTTTTATATGCTCTTATATTCATTTCTCCAAAACTAACGCCTCTATTCAATAATAAATTAAATAAATCTTCATTCACACAGAACTAAAAAAACAAATTGAAGATCGAGCTCGTGCGATCCTCTTTATTGCTAGATTCAAAAACATCACAAGTATTTTTTTTAAAAAAAATAATTATGGACAAAGACAGCATAAAATAGATCATGAATTATAATAAGAAAACGAAAACCAAATAGAAAGATGAAAATTGGAGTAGTAGTTGGTATTTACCTCAGATAAGGATGCAACATTAGAGGTATCGACTGCGGCCATGGCTGAATTCAGCTGCGACGGCGGCCGATGGGCCAAACTTAGACCAAGACAATAGCTAAAGTAGGTTTTCTGGTAGAATGTTCAGTTCGTCAGTATTGAGTCTATGGGAGCGATAGGGAGAGAAAATGGAGAAGCATCTGATCTGCCGTTTGAAAAGGCTCACATCTCGAGGTGAAGCCCATGGGCCTTGAAGTCTCTGTAGTTATTGGGCTGTATGACCCAATGAGTGGGCAAACCAAATCAGCCTAATTTGTCTCGTTTGACATGGAAATCTGGTTAGTAGATGACCTTTTCTCTCTCGCCCTAGTAATATATGAATTGCCCCCGACAAAAATCTCTCCTTTAAATTCTCTTATTATCATTATTTTTTATTTGTTTTATAAATTTTTTAAAATTTTTCATTTTCATGCATCAGATTAATGTATCAGCGCATTAAATTAATATATCTCGCGCATTATATTAGTGTATCATGTGTAAAATATACATTATATTAGTATTATGTATAAAATATATGTATCTTACTTAACAATTCATTAATCTCGTGCATCATATTAATGTATCAACGCTTATATTATTATATTATTTTAAAAAATTTCTGTAATTATAAATTTATAAGGGACAAATGGTAATTTTACCTTGAAAGTACGTGATTTCTGTCATTCACTCTTTTTTTAAATCACGAATTATTACAAAAATAATTATGAAAAAATAAAATTATTGCAACCGTTGAACAGTAATCTATTGATATTGTTACTGTAAAAGTGAATAATATATGAGAAAATATTATTCAATATTCTAGTCTAATGTTGTCTAAAAAGGTTATTTTTCAAATACTATATTTAAACAACTTTTTAAAATAAAAAATATTGTCCTTGGGATGGATCAATTAGTTTGGAGGGTGATTATACACACGAATGACTCGGGATTGATCCCCCTTAATGCCTTCTGGTTTACATCCCTCTGAGTTGAGCTTGTCGCATAGAACTTGCCTAGTACGGTCTGCCTCAATGCCTTCTGAGTTGAGCCTGTCACATAAGGCTTCCCTAGTGTGGTTTACATCCCTTTTGGTTTGCAGGCTATTACACAGTGATGATTTACGTATATATCCTTGTTAGTTTGTAGGCCACTACACAGTGGGGGTTTACCCAGTGCGCACAAGGTACTTTGCCTCAATACCTTCTGAGTTGAGCCTATCGCATTACCCCGTGTGCACAAAGTGCTTTGCTTCAATACCTTCTGAGTTGAGCCTATCGCATAGAGCTTGCCTAGTGCGTTCTGCCTTAATGCTTTCTGAGTTGAGCTTTTCACATAGCACTTGCCTAGTGCGGTTTACATCCCTTTTAATTTGCAGGCTATTACTAAATGGGAGTTTCCTCCGTGTGTACAAAGTGCTCACCTGAAGGACAGAGGTTGCGGTAGGTATGGGTTAAACTGGGTTCCTGCGTCAATTGTGTTCAAAAAAGGAAATTCACTCAATGACATAAGAAATTGCAAGTATTGAACCTTCATAAATCAGAAAATACATTTTTGTACAAAAATGCAGTAATTGTACGGTAGAATATCCCATGAATACATTATTAATTTTCCGTTGCAGTATATGAAGAGTTTTATTTTTTATATATATATAAAAACAGGATGATATATATCATTTGTCCATCCAAATTATACAACGCAGTGATTTCCTTGCTTCAAGTAAGTCAAATGCTTTGTTAATATCCTCAAAGTTCACTTCATGCGTGATGAATCCATCCAAGTTCAATTCCTGCCCAACATATCGAAAACAAAACCATCACATGTCATAATGTGTATCTAGTATGGAATTAAATATTACCTTATGCTACTAATATTTTTCAATTTTCCATGTTAATTTTATTAATTAGAATATTTCAGCAAATATCTTTTTTAAGAAAATAAGTTTCTTAGAAATCAAGAAAATTACTTTCATGATAAAGTATAAAAACAAGTTTCATAAGTGATATCCAATATTGATTGAGACTTCATATATATATATATATGATAGTTTTTTGATAATAAAAGAAGTGTCATAATTAAGGAAACTTACATTATTCAAATATTGATTAGCAAAGATGGGAATGTCAACTTTAGCTTTGACACCTCCAAACATGGATCCTGTGATGGTTTTTCCAGCCAACACCAGCTCAAGAGGGCTAATGCTTAATGGTGCACCATGCATCTCAATCCCAAGTAATATAGTTTTTCCAGTATCCTACAATATTGTAAATATACATATTTCAGTTAAATGCTTGAAGTACGGTCTATTCTAACTTGAATATATGATAAAGTGTTTTTATTAGACATTTTTCACTCATAATTTGTAAAAACTTTTGTGTATGTTCTCAAGTATTTATTATCTGTAGGTAAGTAAATCACATAAAATATTATGTAGTTAAGAAGGATTTCAACTTTATTATCCTTATTTATGTCATATAATCTCTCTTCATTTGATATTTACCTTATCTATGTATCGTCTTCTCTTAATTGATGAATAATGAGAAAAAGAATGATGACTTTTGCTCAAACTTCTAAAATGATAAATCATTTGAGATATTATATTTGAAAAACACAATAAATAATTTGAAGCGACACCAAGAAAATTGAACCTTGCGAGAACTGGTAAAAGCATCTTGCATTAAGGCGGTCAATCCAATACACTCAAAGCAATAGTCAGCTCCATTATCAGTCAGCTCTTTTATTACCTGTCACAATTAAATCAATTAATTATTGAATAGTACAAATTAATTAATTACTTATAGAATTAATAAATAAATAAAGGAAAAATTATGCTGCTAAGCAAAGTTATACTATTTAATTATTCATCATAGCTATAATTTTTTACAATTATCACTCGCGACTAACATTATACATTAATTACGTGGCCTGACTTCAAATTTATATAATTAGTCATGTTTGTATATGTATAATTCGCTAGGATATACAATTTTTTAACTTATATACATATACAATTCACCCGTCTCCCACTCTCTTCTCTCTCGCTCGCGTCTCTTCCCCCTCTCTCAATCTCGCTCGCCTCTCTCCTTGCTCTCCCAATTTCACTTGCCATTTATACAAATGTATATGTATAATATACAATTATATACATATATAATTCACCTCACTTCCATTCTCTGCCCCTCTCGCTCAACTCTCTCCCCCGTCTCTCGATATCGCTCACCTCACTCCTCTATCTCCCAGTCTCGGTCACCTCTCTCCTCCCTCTCCCAATCTCTCTTGCTATATATACAAATACATATGTATAATATACAATTATCTAACCAATATGCATATACAATTTATATTCACTCCGACTCTTTTCCCCCTCTCTCCCATAGTCTCGCTCACCTTTCTCCTCCATATAACATGTAGCTACAAATTGTAATTATCAAATTATAGCTATGAAGAGTAATTAATTATTTTTAAGTGATCGTATATTAAAGCTCTCTATTAATAAATACATAACTAAACAAACCTGGCTAGTCGATTTCTCACCACAAGTTGTAGGGTTGATAAAATCTGTTAGTCCAAACTTCTTCCCTGGTCATTATTTGAAATACATTTTTCAATAACAATTAATAGTATTTCTTTTATTTTAGTTTTTTATACGTGGGATCTATGAATTATATAGTATTATGCAAGTAAATACGTACCAATTTCAAACTTTTCAGGATTTAAATCAACACCTATAATTTTTGAAGCTCCACGTAACCTTGCTCCTTCGGCAACCTGTTACACATTATAACAAATGCGTCTTAGTCGAGTTGAAGTGTCTGGTTGAAACTTTGAATGGCTCGAGATGCGTATTAAAGTTTTCTGCTATAGTTACCGCTAGTCCCACAGCTCCAAGACCAAATATTGCCACAGTTGAACCTTGTTCAACTTGTGCAATCTTCCATGCCGCTCCCAGTCCTGCAATTAACAAATTATGAAGGATAATTTTTATTTATGAAATCGCAGTTTTTTTCAATTTAAAATAAACGGAGTGAAACGAACCTGTAGAAACCCCACAAGAAAGTAAAGAAGCCTTATCAATGGGGAAATCAGGGGTCATCTTCACTACATGTGTTACATCGACAACAGTATACTCAGTAAAGCTGGAAACCCATAATGTATGGTACAAATTTTCTCCATTTTTATCTTTGAATCTGCTGCTTCCATCCTTTGGCATCCCACAACGATATTCAACTGAAAATTTAGAGCAACCATTCCCTTTTTGAGACTTGCAATCTCTGCATTCTCCACAGTTCCTTTTAAATACTGGCACCACTATGTCCCCTGTTTTCACTTCCTCTACATTTTCCCCTACACTTTCCACCACCCTAAACCATAGAAGAAAAAATAAATAAATTAATTTCATATGGCACGTTCCTCTCTTGGGTGGGGTTAATTAGTTTTCATAGCCTATCTTTTCTATTCGCTTTTCCTTTTAGACTTGGGGTAAAATTTTGTTAAATTAAGTCTTACGCTAAATTCAAGGATTGTTTAAACTTTATAAGGAGTTCACCCACCTTATAAATCATCGATGTGATGTGAGACAGTTGTCATTCTTTAACATTCCATTCACGTTCAGTGCTTATCATTTGGTACGTGAACAATTTTAATTTTGGGGCTCCATTATCAGGTGAGACAAGTCATGCTATGATACATGTTAAATTAATTCTTAGGTTTAACTCACACCCCAAAAGTTAGCTCAAATGGAGAAGAATTGCCCAAACTTTATAAATAGTCCGTATCAGATGTTTACTCCGAGCCAATGCATATATGTTCAAATTTATAATTCATTCACTTACTAATAGAGATTGTTAGACTTGTTTGAGTGGATTTACGTTGATTAAATCATATATTTTTAATAACAATATTTTACTATAGTAACAAAAATATCAAAACAAATGACGCGATTCGACAAGTTTGACTATAATTGAAAGTTTGGAGTCATTTGTTAGATAGAGAAAATAAATTACCCAGCTGCTTCATGACCAAGAATTCTGGGGAAAGCAGAAGATGGTCCCTGAGGAAATTAATTAACAAGAAATTATGAAGAACATAGAGATTAATTAGTGTAATTAAAAATAATTTGCTTTTTTCAAAGTTGACTTACAGTTGATAATTTCCAGAAACTAAGATCAGACTGACAGAGGGATGTGCATAGAATCTTAATCCTAACCTCCCAAGAACTGGGAGGAGCAACCTCAATTTCTTCAATGATCAAAGGTTCCCCTGCTTTTCTGCATACTGCAGCTGTTTAATTAAAGAAACATACAGTTAGACGATATTAATTACGTACCAAATTGGATGTAATTAAGAAATTAATGTTGAGAAAGAGAAAACCTTTGCATTTTATGGGTTTTCCTGCAAAATTTGAGCCCATGACTTTATTGTGATATTCTCTAATCCAACTTGTTCAATAAATAAGACAACTGGTAAAATATTTTAAATTAGTTGTCTTATTTCATTTCTCGATAGTCACTTAATTTTTAAAATTAAAATTTATATTAGAAAATGAAATGAGGTTTGATAGTGGGAATTTTATTTTTTTATATAAAAAAAAAAAGATGGATTCTCGGTAGAATATATATAGAAAATTCAACAGCTGCGTGTGAGGCAACTTTAAATTAGGGAAGGATCATGTGATTGGCCATGATAAAATAAAGTGCACCTAATATGTTAAGTGAATTTCATGTTTTTAAAAGAAAGAAAAATTACTATAACTCATCGTATATAAGATAATTTATCTCATTGTTATTATATATATTATAATATAAATAGTGAGATGAATAGTAATTCAAGACTAATTAATATTTTTAATTATGCACATGATAATATATTTATTCATATTTGAATTATTATTGTTTGTTATATCAAATGATCTCAAGTATATTATTGTTAAGGATCATAATAAATCAGTGATTGAATATTTGAACTTCATTTTATTAGTGATACTTCAATTCAGGCCTTACAGTTCCCTCTTTCATTTTCACTTAATCTATCCTAATTTATTTATATATATTTTTAGAAAAAGAAAAGTATACATTGTTGTTGAACTTAGTAAATATATTTGAAAAAGGTAAAAACCATCCAAACAAGCATAAGTCTCCTTCATAGAACTAGAATATAATTAAAGGTACTATTTTCGAGATTCAAATCTCATAAATGAAACGAGATAAATATAAAAATATTTAGCTCCTTTTTAGTAAATTAAATAATAGCGATATGTAGAATATCGATTTAAAAAAAAATCTCAAAGCACAAAAAGATAGAAAGCTTAAATTAACAGGATTATTTGCCCATCCAAATGATACAACGCAACGTTTTGCCTGCTTCAAGTAAGTCAAATGCTTTGTTAATATCTTCAAAGTTAACTTCGTGTGTTATGAATCCATCCAAGTTCAACTCCTACCCAATATTGCAAACACAAAGCATCAACTACTTATAAATTAATTTGGCATGGGAATAATAATAATAATAATAATAATAATAATAATAATACTTCTGGTCCCTCGTTAGTAAATTCTAAATTTGATCCTTCTGATACACGACGACTACAATACCATCGTAACATATATAACACATTTGAAACTTAATCCATGAAACAATTGGTAATTAATTAAAATAAACTTATGTGAATCAGTGGCTGAGCCACACGTGAACTCCTTCGACGGAAAATTATATTGTTTTTATATTGTTAAAATAATTTTTTAGGTATAAATAGTAGATGTCGAACCCCCTACGATCAGTGGCATAGCCACATAATGTCAATGGTGTCCAATTGGACACCATTAATCGAAAAAAAATTAACACATATACAAGTAAAATGATATACAAAATGATTAAATAACTTATTTTGGACACCCTTAACATAACAAGTTGTTATTTCTGGACACCCTTTAAGAAATTTTTGACTCCGCCACTACCTTCGGTTATTTCGTATATCTATTTTTTTAGATTTTAAACCCTCTTATCAAAAATTCTGATTCCACCTCTGAATCGTGAATACTCACAAACGGCAAGCAGATAAAATGCACATTCAATTAATTCAAAAAGATAAAATATTCTTAATCGATTAAATGTCATGAGAAAAATTAAATAATAATCGAGTGACTAAAAGTGCCACGATCCTTTTGGAATTATATATGTGGTAGCTAGGTTCGTTAAACCTTTTTAGTATATAATATTCACAACAATAAATTAAATCTAGAATTATTGAATTGAAAAGGTGTAATAAAATAACAAGAAGTACAAGGAAACTTACATTATTTAAATATTGATTAGCAAAAATGGGAATGTCAAGTTTAGCTTTGACACCACCAAACATGGATCCTGTAATAGTTTTTCCAGCCGCCAATTCATAAGGGTTAATACTTAACGGTGTGCCGTGCATCTCTATTCCAAGTATTACAGTCTTTCCAGTACCCTACCATTATACATCAACATCAATGTTTCGATTCTTCCGTTTGTCTTAATAAAAAGTATGTTCATTTATTTATATTTTATAAAATGAAATCTTAGGTTTAACCCACGTCTCAAAAGGAAGGAGCATTGCTCAAGTCTTATAAGGAATCCACCTATCTGTCCTTCTTTAAGATATTTGTATAACATTGTAACTTGAAATAAGCCTGATGAAAAGAAACATGACTAGTGGAAATTTATATATATCATGAATCTAACTTGTTTCTTATCAGGACGTTTAGAATTAGAGTTATGATTTTTAAAATTTATGAGTTTTGAGTTTTAATGTATATTTACTGAACTATAAATTAATAATCTATAAATATTTAATAGATTTTTAAGGCAAATATAAAATAAAATCAATTAAGCCCTTAAAAATAAGAAGGGATCAAGTAAACCTTTCGAGATCTTGTAAAAGCCTCTTGCATTAAGGAGGCCAATCCAATACATTCAAAGCAATAGTCAGCTCCACCATCACTCATCTCTTTTATTATCTGTTATCACTAAACTTAATTAATAATTTAATAACACAAATTAATTGGTAATTATTCTTTTATCTCGCACAAATTAAACAATGAAAAAACAAACCTGGCTAGTCGATTTCTCACCACATGTTGTAGGGTTAATAAAATCTGTTAGTCCAAACTTCTTCCCTAGACATTTAAAATACATTTTCAAAAACAATTAATATCCTCTTCTTTTATTTTAGTTTTTGTATAAGTAATGAAGAATGTTTAAAAAAGCTTAAGTAATAATACGTACCAATTTCAAATTTTTCTGGATTTAAATCAACACCTATTATTTTTGAAGCTCCACGTAACTTAGCTCCTTGTACGACCTATTAAATTGTTTATTGCGTACAAAACAATAATTTACTAAACTTTAAAATGTTATAATAAGCTAAGGTGAACAAATTACTCGGGTGTTTAGTTTTTTTTTCTTTTGGTGGATATAACACAAATCAAACAAATTAAATGAAGATTCATTCACAATCAAGATAAAATGTATCATGTATGTAACAGATAGTCGATTTAATTAAAATGAGTCATGCCTGATTTATGATTTACGAAATTTTATCCTTACGGATCCCAGTTATGATTACTTCTTGACTCAAATTTTACTTATAATATACTTAAAAACAAACAATGCACCCAAAATAACCATTAGCTACTCGTTGTTAATATGTCGTTGTATCGTCCGTAGCTATTGGCGGGCGGACCTAGAGTCTGAGGCGGTTCATCGGCGAAAAATTACGTTGTATATTTAAGGTATTGTTAAGAATATTTATGTTTATATATTGATTTTGAACCTCTTGAATATAATATTAGAGGTTGATTTAGTACTTGAAGTGTTCAAACCTCAAATCTTAAACATCCCTTTTTTTTTCCAAACCCCCTAGCTAAATGTAAATCCTGAGTCCACCACTGCGGTCACTAGGTAACATATTTTTAATCATTAATTGCAAACTTATTTTTAAATAGAATTAGTATATTAGTTAGATATAAAAATTACCTGTCGTTAATTTTTTTTTCCAGTGAAATAAAATTCATGTAGAAAAAGCATAACTATTTTTTGAACTTTATTGTGAAGACTCAAGATATAAATGGAGTTACCGCTAGTCCCACGGCTCCTAGTCCAAATACAGCTACAATAGAACCTTCTTCAATATCTGCAACTCTCCATGCAGCTCCCAATCCTACAAAAATAGAAAAAATAAATTGACTAATACATTTGATTTATAATAATGCGTTTAAAAAGTGTGACTTAAACTACTAAAAAAAAATTAAATATAACATAACTTTTCATTGATCAAAAGGCCACACATGTAAATGTGTTTGTATTAAAAAAAAAAGATATATTTATTTAGAAGCAAATATGGATAGAAATTAAACCTGTAGAAACCCCACAAGAAAGTAAAGAAGCCTTATCAATTGGAAAATGAGGATTCATCTTCACCACATGTGTTACATCAACAACAGTATACTCAGTGAAGCTGGAAACCCATAATGTATGGTACAATTTTTCTCCATTTTTGTCCTTGAACCTACTGCTTCCATCTCTAGGCATTCCACACAGAAAATCCTCAGGGAATTTTGAACAGATATTTCCCTTTGGACACTTGCAATCTCTACATTCTCCACAGTTTCTTTGAAATACTGGTATTACTATGTCACCTTCTTTCACTTCCTCTACATTTTCTCCTACACTCTCCACCACACTATACCAAAAAAAAAAAACTCATATTAGTGAATTTATACCATTAGAGTGTGTTTAGCGGTGTTTTATTAATAATAAAACAAAAAACAAGCATAGGAATAGACCTTATCTTATTTTCCTGCAAATTTTTATACTAATTCCCAAAAAAATTCTTATGTAATTCACACTTTTCTAATAACATATTTCTTTCTTTAAAGACTTCGATTTATTAACCATAGCCACATAATTTGGTATTGAATGGACTTATTTGCTAATATTTGTCGAGGCCCATTCATAATATATAATTACTTATTTCTACTCATTGAATATTTTATCTGTAAAAAATAATTAACGATATACTCAAATTGTTCTCACAAACACCAAAAATAATATATGCTTTTTTTTCCAGCCACCATACTATAATAATACTCCCTTTATGAGTCAATTTTTGAAATTGAATTAAAACTCATCGACGTAACGTATATACGTTACGATTTAAAGCCTTAAATAATATATAAAAATGAGAGGAGCAGTATATATATAAATGAAAATTCAATTAAAAAAGAAAGCAAAATTAGCAATTTTTTATAAAGAAATTAAGCTAATTAATTACCCAGTTGCTTCATGACCGAGAATTCTGGGGAAGGCTGAAACTGGTCCCTGAGGAAATTAATTACTACAATTTAGTAGTAAATTATGAAGATTAATTAGTCTAATTTAAAGTATTAAAGATAAACTTACATCTGATAATTTCCAAAAAGTAACATCACTATGACATAAGGAAGTACAAAGAATCTTAATCCGAACTTCCCAAGAAGTAGGAGGAGCAACCTCAATTTCTTCAATAATCAGAGGTTCCCCTGCTTTTCTGCACACTGCAGCTGTTTAATCCAACAACAAACCGTTCCGATAATATTCAAGCGTGATTCACATGTAATTAATACGACCAAAAAAAAACATACAAGAAATTAATGTTAGAAAAAGAGCAAACCTTTGCATCTAATGGGCTTTCCTGCTGTCGCTGATGCAGAATTCGACGCCATAATTGAGAGTAGTTTAATTTTCGTGTTCTAACTGAACTTCTTTATTAAGAGTATAATATATTATTATTAAATAAGTTAGTGGTCTGTTGCCACTACTTTGTTTATAAAAAAGTCAAAAAGAGAATAATGTTTTAAAATTTGACAACTAATTATTAGTTTCGTTTTTAAATTATTGAAAACACTTGTTCATTTAATTAATTAAATTTAGATATACTTAGAAGTTCAATCCATCATATGAAGTAGTAAATGGTCTCGAACTTTTATAGGAACATGAACCTTTTAATAAGATTTTTAATAATAAATAAAATTAATAATTCGTGTTAAGTGAAGAGTGTTTTCAAAATTTCTCCCACTCAAAAATCAATATCCGTACAGATATATTTCCTTAGTCTCAAATGATGTAACATGATTTTTAAAAATAACTATTTTAAACTATTTATCATTTCAAAAATTTATAACTTATTTTTCTATTCTAACCCTTAATAGTAAAATGATGCAAATCAAAATTGAATAAACATCTCAGTTCGAAAGAGATGGCACAAATATGAAGTAGACATTAAATTATCAGAGATCATATCTTAGAATATAAATAAGATTAAAAAAGTAAATAGCGTGCTTCACTCTTTTCGTATTAGTGGGTTCGTTCACAAAGCCACTTTTTAAGTAAATAAAATAATGAATCTTTTTTTAAAATTATTGTGTTCTAAATTCCTTTTACTTATCCTGAATTGGATATTGTATTATTTTTTTAAAAAAAAAAAAAGGTAGAGGAAGAGAAAATGAAAGAGGACGGAAAAGGGAAAAAATCCAACTTTTACGGATGAATTGATCTATTAAGTTTTTTTTGTCATTACTTATAAAAAAATATTTTCAAAAAGATTTTTTTTTTTTAAACAGTGTGAATAGATGCATTTTATTTTGATAAGTAGTGTGAATAGATACATTTTAACATCCTCAAACTATACTATTTGCTGCTTTTTCTTCCTTATGCACTGTTTTAGTAAAATTTGCGAATTTTATTTTCAACATGCATTCATAGGTGGAGTGATATCGTTTGTGTAACTTTTTTTAATGCAGTTAAAAGTTTTAAATTAAACAAGCACATCTATAATATTCTTATAGTTGATGGATAATTTAGGTCTTGGAAACTGATTTGTAATATAAGTCATTAATGTTGATGATAAAATAGGGGTACTAATTGATTTTATATATATATATATATATATATGGTATGCTAATATTCTCCGTCATTTGGGACAGTGATATCTTTACCGTCTAAAAACTAGAGCATATATACCCTTTATACTAATAGACATACACTACAACAAAAATGACCATTAGCGGCATTTAATTCTTAATTGCCGCTAAATATGTATTTTTAGAGGCAATTGTCACTCTTTGTATATGTCCCTAAAGTCTTTAGCGATATTGGTTCTAGTGGCAATTAACTAATGCCGGTAAAGACTTTAGCACTCTTTATTAGTATCAATATTTAATGCCGCTAAAAGTTATTTTTGTTGTAGTGGTACAAGTATCATAATCTTATCCGCTGATCCGACACTTATCGACTGATGAGATTGTGTCACGTGTCGCTATTTAGTGTTCCATTAGAGTGAAGGGCATATATGCTCTAGTTTATGGATGGCAGGCACCAATGTCCCAAAAATATGACGAACGGTATCTGCATACCATTTAAGATAGTTCGGAGATGTATTTGTTCTTTTTTTCTTTTTAAAATAATGGATAAGTAAAATAAAACAAAAAATAAAATCTGATCAACAAATATTTATTTACAAAAATATCCTCTATAATTATGATACAAAAGAGGTAGAAAGAATTTCGAGTTATAATTGAATCTTTAACTATAGTTATTTATGCATTAAATCCTGATATTACAATTATCTAAAAATTCATGATATTAGTAATACACACTAGAGTGTATAAATATTACATAACATAAAAAATTGTACCAAATAAAATATTTTTAATATACAAAGTTAATATATTTATTATTTCTTTTATTAAATACATTCTATCAAACGATCGCTTGGATAAACCAGATTCCAGACATCTTCATTAAAAGCCCAGCAATGGAAGAAAACTAAGGTCACTTGCACTGTTGGGCTAATTTTGGGTATCGGCACCATAGAAGCATCTGAAGCCCACTCTAATTTTCAAATACATACTTTATCACATATTGTCTAACCATTGGATGGGTGTATAAAATAATCTAGGAAAAACTAGCTATATAGTCATAGTTAAAAATAATATTTTAAAATATCATATTGATAATATTTTTAAAAATACTTTGTATTCACATTTTTTTATTTTTGGAATTTCCTTTTATTAATTAAAAGAATTCATAATTGGATTAAATTCTAACGAATAACAAATTTAAAATAATAATAAATACAATATTATCTTCTCATCTCGCACGTTTCTCCCTTTTAGGTTATTCTCTAAAAAAAATTCCACCTATCAAGTTCTCATATTTTCTTTATTTTTTAAACAAAAGTTGTTCAAAATTTGATTCTTCAACAAAATCTATGCATTAATTCAAGAATTTTCTTGGTTGATGAATAATCAGGTATATATATATTATTTTATCAAATTTTGAATCTGGTGAAGGTAATTTCGATTAGGTTTTTAATTTCTTTGGATATGTTTTTCAACGTCACCGTTTATATTTTGCATTGTTCATATTATGAATTTTTCGTTATTCTCGATTTTTATGCAAGTCTGTTTACATTTTTAGTCAACTTTTTCTGGAGATTTTTACTCCAAAAATGTTTGCTCAAGAAAAGAGATCAAAGTTTCTTCATGATTTCATAAGTTCAAGATAGCAATGTCAGTGTAAAGAAGTATTAATAAATAATTAAAAAATTGAATGCAATCGAAGACCAAGGTGAAGAATAATTTCGTATTAGTTTGTTTTGTATATAATTTCTTTTAAAATTTTGTATTATTTCTCAATTTGTATTCAAACCATTATGTATGCTTTTAATATTTATATCCATTGAAGATCTCATGTTGCATAGTCCATCAATCTACATCTTTTTCTTAATTTGTATTCATCGTAAAGGTATACTAACTAGTTGTGTCTTTTATTTATGAGTTATCACTCAACTTTGAAAAAATATTTAACAAAATTACTAAACTTTGTGTCAATAAAATCACTCAAATTAATATTTCTTATCAATTAAATCGTCCAACTAAATTTATAATTAGAACATTTTCTAACGCCATGTTCATTATTAAATAATAATAAACAAATGTCTCAAAATTAACACTTCATTATAATTAATTCAAATAAGTAACCAAAAAGAATAATAATTAATCTAAATGAATTTATTTATGTAAAGAATTCCTACTATCTATGTAAATAACTACTGTAATTTGTTATGATTTTTAGATATTATTTAGAAGGAAAAATTAGGAGTAGTTAAATTACTAAAAAATATTCAATCAATGTGCGGACTTTCTGTAATGATCTGCAACAGTAGTTAAACTACTGTAATTTGTTGGATGGATTTCTTGTAATAATAGTTTGTAACAGTAAGTTGAATTATGACTGATTTTACGTTTTGAAATGAAAAGGGCAAGCGCTTAATTTGCTTTTTAAAAGTGAAATTAGCATGAGATAAAAGATAATTTTGTCATTTTAAATTTATTTTAATAATAAATTTAGTTGGATAATTTTATTGATATAAAAATCTAAGTTGAGTAATTTTATTAATATAAAATAAAATTTAGTGACTTTATTAGATAATTTTTAACAGTTGAATGACCTTTTGAAAAATTAACTCTTAATTTATAAGAAGAACAATTTCTATTAGTTTGTTTTTATAGTTTTTTTTTCTTCAGAAATATGTATCATTTCTCAAATCGTATTCAAAGTAGTATGCTATTAATATTTTTATTTGTTCAAAATCTCACGTTCCATAGTTGATGAATTTTGTATTTGTTCCTGTTTATATTAATTCCAAAGGCATACCAATTAGTTATGTATTTTATTTAAGAATAATTACAACTAATATACAGTTATTGCTTTTTAGTTTTATTCACTTTTCCATCATATTTTTTTAATAATATATCATTATACAAAGTACAATATAAAAACTAAAAGAAATAAAAACACAAATAATATACTTATTGGAATGAATACGACTTAGGAAAGAAAATAAAATTTTAAACAGAAAAATAAATACACAATGAAAAAAAATTACATGAATACAAATATTTTCCTAAATAATTACAGATTCATTTGACATACCTGTTAAATAAATACAAATTTCATTATACAAAAAGCAACATGAAAACTACAATAAATACAAATACAAATGATATAAATAGTGGAATGAATATAATTTAAGAAAGGATACAAAATTATGGTAAATAAAATAAACACACTGTGATAAAAGTATGTCAAATAACATATAAAACTATAAATGTTCAAATTTTGTAAATTTTTAAAAAATTAAATTTAATAGATAAAACTATAATGCATTATCATAAAATTTCATAACATAATTAGTTTTGAAAGACAAGGACAAATAATGGCCTTTAGAAAAAAAGAAAGAAAGAAGAGACCACCTATTTTAGGTCTCATAATCTTTTGTAAGGAAAGTAATGAAGATTTTCACAACTTAATCTTATTTGAAATATCCCCTTAATTTTCTCTAATTTGTTATTTTTTAATTATATTATGTTAAGTTAAATAAAGAAAAAGATACATAAATCAACCCATAACAAACTAAATATTGTCATTTTTAATAAATATTGAAAGTATTGCTAAGGATCCTATTAAATGTTAAAATATTGTTGTTTTGAAACAATTCCTTAAAATCTAACTGAAAAATCGAATAAAATTGTAAATCTAGTCAAATCGGAAAAAAACTTGATTAGTGATTTGATTTGAATTGGTTTGGTATTGAAAAAAAACCCGACTATATTTGAGTTGGTTTGATTTTAACTAAAAATGACCAATCCGAGATCAAATCAGCCCGATGTTACACATGTAATTTTAAAATTTTATTTTATGCATAAAAATATTTTCTTTGATGTAATTTTAAAATATTCCTTATAC